AGGTCATTCAAACGGTCAGTAGCTGAGAGACGCAGGTCATTCAAACGGTCAGTAGCTGAGAGACGCAGGTCATTCAAACGGTCAGTAGCTGAGAGACGCAGGTCATTCAAACTGTCAGTAGCTGAGAGACGCAGGTCATTCAAACGGTCAGTAGCTGAGAGACGCAGGTCATTCAAACGGTCAGTAGCTGAGACGCAGGTCATTCAAACGGTCAGTAGCTGAGAGACGCAGGTCATTCAAACGGTCAGTAGCTGAGACGCAGGTCATTCAAACGGTCAGTAGCTGAGACGCAGGTCATTCAAACTGTCAGTAGCTGAGAGACGCAGGTCATTCAAACTGTCAGTAGCTGAGAGACGCAGGTCATTCAAACTGTCAGTAGCTAAGAGACGCAGGTCATTCAAACGGTCAGTAGCTGAGAGACACAGGTCATTCAAACGGTCAGTAGCTGAGAGACACAGGTCATTCAAACGGTCAGTAGCTGAGAGACGCAGGTCATTCAAACTGTCAGTAGCTGAGAGACGCAGGTCATTCAAACGGTCAGTAGCTGAGAGACACAGGTCATTCAAACTGTCAGTAGCTGAGAGACGCAGGTCATTCAAACGGTCAGTAGCTGAGAGACGCAGGTCATTCAAACGGTCAGTAGCTGAGACGCAGGTCATTCAAACGGTCAGTAGCTAAGAGACGCAGGTCATTCAAACTGTCAGTAGCTGAGAGACGCAGGTCATTCAAACGGTCAGTAGCTGAGAGACGCAGGTCATTCAAACGGTCAGTAGCTGAGACGCAGGTCATTCAAACGGTCAGTAGCTGAGAGACGCAGGTCATTCAAACTGTCAGTAGCTGAGAGACGCAGGTCATTCAAACGGTCAGTAGCTGAGAGACGCAGGTCATTCAAACGGTCAGTAGCTGAGAGACGCAGGTCATTCAAACGGTCAGTAGCTGAGACGCAGGTCATTCAAACGGTCAGTAGCTGAGAGACGCAGGTCATTCAAACTGTCAGTAGCTGAGAGACGCAGGTCATTCAAACTGTCAGTAGCTGAGAGACGCAGGTCATTCAAACGGTCAGTAGCTGAGAGACGCAGGTCATTCAAACGGTCAGTAGCTGAGAGACGCAGGTCATTCAAACTGTCAGTAGCTGAGAGACGCAGGTCATTCAAACGGTCAGTAGCTGAGACGCAGGTCATTCAAACGGTCAGTAGCTGAGAGACGCAGGTCATTCAAACTGTCAGTAGCTGAGAGACGCAGGTCATTCAAACTGTCAGTAGCTGAGAGACGCAGGTCATTCAAACTGTCAGTAGCTGAGAGACGCAGGTCATTCAAACGGTCAGTAGCTGAGACGCAGGTCATTCAAACGGTCAGTAGCTGAGACGCAGGTCATTCAAACGGTCAGTAGCTGAGACGCAGGTCATTCAAACGGTCAGTAGCTGAGACGCAGGTCATTCAAACGGTCAGTAGCTGAGACACAGGTCATTCAAACGGTCAGTAGCTGAGACGCAGGTCATTCAAACGGTCAGTAGCTGAGACGCAGGTCATTCAAACGGTCAGTAGCTGAGAGACGCAGGTCATTCAAACGGTCAGTAGCTGAGACGCAGGTCATTCAAACGGTCAGTAGCTGAGACGCAGGTCATTCAAACGGTCAGTAGCTGAGACGCAGGTCATTCAAACGGTCAGTAGCTGAGACGCAGGTCATTCAAACGGTCAGTAGCTGAGAGACGCAGGTCATTCAAACGGTCAGTAGCTGAGACACAGGTCATTCAAACGGTCAGTAGCTGAGACGCAGGTCATTCAAACGGTCAGTAGCTGAGACGCAGGTCATTCAAACGGTCAGTAGCTGAGACACAGGTCATTCAAACGGTCAGTAGCTGAGACGCAGGTCATTGAGCTCTTGAACAAGTTAATACAATAAGATTTCTTGGTGTTTGGTTTGAGGGAAAGCTAACATGGAGCAATCATATAGGAAAGTTCAAAATAAATGTAAAAAGGTCAACAATGTACTTCGGTGTTTGGCGGGACAGGAGTGGGGAGCGAGCAGGTCATCACTTCTGAACATATATTGGGCACTCATGAGACCTGTAGTAGATGAGGGGTGTACAGCGTTCATGGCAGCAGCAGAATCGAACCTTAAAAAGCTGGATGTCCTCCACGCTCAGGCCCTGAGAATATTTGGAGCTTTTAAAACATCTCCAGTATCAGGTGGGATGGGAGAAATGCCTTTAAGGATAAGAAGAGTGAAGGTAATGTTGGCACACTGGGTAACCCTTCAGGGGCATTGTGATAGTCATCCTGAGAAGAGTGTTTTGAAAGACTGCTGGGAGCACGATGAGTCACATTGAACACGTGTTGGATGGATTGGCGATGTTAAAGCAGCAAGTATAGGTTTGAATAAAATACAGTATTGCCTCACAGCTCCAATCTCGTCCACCGGTTATTCCCAAAGAGTAGACCTCAATATACAAAGGGAGTTGAAGGGAAAGAAAGAACTACTACCAGTATGGCGCATAGTCCAGACTCAGACTCAACAATCATATTTACAGACGGCTCCAAAGACTCATCTGGGTTCCTGCTCCTGTTGGTGTGGAGGGTTCCTGCTCCTGTTGGTGTGGAGGGTTCCTGCTCCTGTTGGTGTGGAGGGTTCCTGCTCGTGTTGGTGTGGAGGGTTCCTGCTCCTGTTGGTGTGGAGGGTTCCTGCTCGTGTTGGTATGGAGGGTTCCTGCTCCTGTTGGTGTGGAGGGTTCCTGCTCCTGTTGGTGTGGAGGGTTCCTGCTCCTGTTGGTGTGGAGGGTTCCTGCTCCTGTTGGTGTGGAGGGTTCCTGCTCCTGTTGGTGTGGAGGGTTCCTGCTCCTGTTGGTGTGGAGGGTTCCTGCTCCTGTTGGTGTGGAGGGTTCCTGCTCCTGTTGGTGTGGAGGGTTCCTGCTCCTGTTGGTGTGGAGGGTTCCTGCTCATGTTGGTGTGGAGGGTTCCTGCTCGTGTTGGTGTGGAGGGTTCCTGCTCGTGTTGGTGTGGAGGGTTCCTGCTCCTGTTGGTGTGGAGGGTTCCTGCTCGTGTTGGTGTGGAGGGTTCCTGCTCCTGTTGGTGTGGAGGGTTCCTGCTCCTGTTGGTGTGGACAGGTGAACATTCTGGCCAAACAAACACTCAGAGTTATGAACATAGACATAGAGGTTCCACTTAGCAAAGCGGAGGTTAAAACATTCATACATAAATATGCACAAACAACATGGCAGGACATTGGGCCCTTAGTGATACAGGAAGACATCTTTATAACATGCAAAGGTATGTGGGGGGTGGAAGGAAGGTGGGGTTTAAAAGAAGGGAGGAACATGTCATTTCTCTGATAGGTCACACAGGGCTCAATCATACATTGAGTAGAAGAGGAAAGCATCTAACCGGAAAGTGTACACACAGCCAGAAACTGTGGAGCATGTTTTCTGATTTGCAGGAAATATAGTGTTCAGAGAAATGTGCTTTTCCAGACACTGAAGAAAGCTAAATACAATGACTTTTCGCTATCAGGGTTGTTAGGGAAAACATCAGACAATATGTATTGTGAGATTATTACGTTTCTAAAAGGAATTGATAAATTAAAAATAATCTTGAGTTTTGGTTCTTTATTTTATTTTATTTCTTTTGTTTATTGTTTTCTGCATAGTCTCTTGTCCACACCATAGACTGTGGCCCTTTCTCATGTCTTCAAATGTTCCTCCTCGACTCCCCTCCTCGACTCCTATCCTCGAGACTTAGTCCCGCCCACAGGAGATGCGAGCGGAGGAGCCGAGGAGGGGAACCGAGGAGAGAGGAGGGGAAGCAGCAGGCGGTTAGAGAAATGAGAACTCCTCTCCTCTGAGCGGTCATTTAAAAGAGACGTCCATTAATGATGACAGGAGGCACAGCAGCCCTCTGTCTGATGGACAGATGTGTTCATGACCAGTGACCACTTCTATATTTACTTTCATTCATTCACAGTGCGGTGTAATGAGACAATAACAGGCTACAGATGCGGACACACACACACACACACACACACACACACACACACACACACACACACACACACACACACACACACACACACACATATATGTATATATTTATATAAATATATACAATTTCAGAATCAAACAGAGCACTCTCATAATAACGTAACACTATCAGAGACTGGATATACCCCCCCCCCCCCTCTCCCCTCTCTGGTCGCTACAATGAGGGAAATAAATGACGGGCCAAAAGTTTTATTTACAAGTATTAAAAGTAAGCAGAGGACACCAAACCAACTGAGACCTGTCTGTCCGCTGCATCTACGCACACACTGTACCACACGCACCTACACACTGTACCACACACACCTACACCACACACACCTACACCACACACACACCTACACCACACACACGCACCTACAGCTCCTAAAGCATAATCAGGCTACAGCCGTTGTGTATTTTATTTTGTGAAGCACTAAATGGTTTTAGAAAAATATCGACTTAGTTTGTAGATATCTACTAAACTAAAGCAAATAAAGAGAGTATGCCTGTTATACTGAGTGATATATATGATACACACTGCTCTGCTTTCTGCACGGACCTCACAGCTGTTCTCTCTGTAAACATCGCGTCGCGATGAAAGCAGTTAATAAAATAATATCCAGGGGATGCATGCAGAGCTGTGATTGGCTGAGATAAGTCCGGCCGTGCGTCACGACTCTTTGAAACATCACTGTTGCCGGAAATGCATCCACGAAGGAGCCGTGGAGGACTGTGGAGGACCCATCAGTGTATCCTCGGTTATAGCTCCTCCAGAGAGCCTCCTCGACGCTCGATGCTCGGTCCTCGATGTGCATTTCGAGAAATGAGATGTCCTTCAACATGGCACGCTGAAATTAATTTCCGGGTCACTACCGGAGGACCGAGGAGTCGAGGATGGGACATTTGATGACATGAGAAAGGGCCTGTATATATAAAGGTCCACACTCCAGTCCAGCTGGTGGCGGTAATGCACCTACAAGTTGGTTTGCCAACCGCCAATAAACACCAAAGAAGAAGAAGAAGAAGAAGTTCTCGCGAGACTTCCCCTCCCTGTGTTGTGTTGTTTTCTCTGCACGTAATAATCGTGACATTGGTGTAGCACCGGCTCTAACCGGAGATCTTCCTCTCTCTTACCGGAGATCTTCCTCTCTCTTACCGGATATCTTCCTCTCTCTTACCGGAGATCTTCCTCTCTGACCGGCCTCCGGACCGCCGCGGAGACTTGATGACATCCAAGCCGAGAGTCCAGAGCAAAGTTTCCCGGTGAGTGTGACCGTGTGAGGGGAGCCTTATCCCCGCTGTTCTCTTCCGGAGGGTCGGCTAGCATAGTTAGCTCCCTGGGGCTAGCGGAGCTAACGTTAGCTTAGTGTTAGCTTAGTGTTAGCTTAGTGTTAGCTTAGCTTCCGACGCGCAGTGACCTCAGATACTCTTTATTATATAAACAACTAACGTTTAAATACTCTTTATTATACACACCATAACACTTAAATACTCTTTATCATATAAACACAATAACACTTAATACTCTTTATCAGAGAAGAATATATAATATGCTGCTCTTTAAAGTCTGTGCTCCAGTAGTTTGATATCCACCTGCTCTGAGGGTTAGAGCACTTAAATACTTGTACTCCTTAAGTACAGTCTCCTAATCACACTTAAATACTTTTACTCCTTAAGTACAGTCTCCTAATCGCACTTAAATACTTGTACTCCTTAAGTACAGTCTCCTAATCACACTTAAATACTTTTACTCCTTAAGTACAGTCTCCTAATCACACTTAAATACTTGTACTCCTTAAGTACAGTCTCCTAATCACACTTAAATACTTGTACTCCTTAAGTACAGTCTCCTACTCGCACTTAAATACTTTTACTCCTTAAGTACAGTCTCCTACTCGCACTTAAATACTTTTACTCCTTAAGTACAGTCTCCTAATCACACTTAAATACTTGTACTCCTTAAGTACAGTCTCCTAATCACACTTAAATACTTTTACTCCTTAAGTACAGTCTCCTAATCGCACTTAAATACTTTTACTCCTTAAGTACAGTCTCCTACTCGCACTTAAATACTTTTACTCCTTAAGTACAGTCTCCTACTCACACTTAAATACTTTTACTCCTTAAGTACAGTCTCCTACTCACACTTAAATACTTTTACTCCTTAAGTACAGTCTCCTAATCACACTTAAATACTTTTACTCCTTAAGTACAGTCTCCTACTCACACTTAAATACTTTTACTCCTTAAGTACAGTCTCCTACTCACACTTAAATACTTTTACTCCTTAAGTACAGTCTCCTAATCACACTTAAATACTTTTACTCCTTAAGTACAGTCTCCTACTCGCACTTAAATACTTTTACTCCTTAAGTACAGTCTCCTACTCGCACTTAAATACTTTTACTCCTTAAGTACAGTCTCCTACTCGCACTTAAATACTTTTACTCCTTAAGTACAGTCTCCTACTCGCACTTAAATACTTGTACTCCTTAAGTACAGTCTTCTAATCACACTTAAATACTTTTACTCCTTAAGTACAGTCTCCTAATCGCACTTAAATACTTGTACTCCTTAAGTACAGTCTCCTAATCACACTTAAATACTTGTACTCCTTAAGTACAGTCTCCTAATCGCACTTAATACTTTACTCCTAAGTACAGTCTCCTACTCGCACTTAAATACTTTTACTCCTTAAGTACAGTCTCCTACTCGCACTTAAATACTTTTACTCCTTAAGTACAGTCTCCTACTCGCACTTAAATACTTGTACTCCTTAAGTACAGTCTCCTACTCGCACTTAAATACTTGTACTCCTTAAGTACAGTCTCCTAATCGCACTTAAATACTTGTACTTCTTAAGTACAGTCTCCTAATCGCACTTAAATACTTTTACTCCTTAAGTACAGTCTCCTAATCGCACTTAAATACTTTAACTCCTTAAGTACAGTCTCCTAATCGCACTTAAATACTTTTACTCCTTAAGTACAGTCTCCTAATCGCACTTAAATACTTTTACTCCTTAAGTACAGTCTCCTAATCACACTTAAATACTTTTACTCCTAAAGTACAGTCTCCTAATCGCACTTAAATACTTTTACTCCTAAAGTACAGTCTCCTAATCGCACTTAAATACTTTTACTCCTAAAGTACAGTCTCCTAATCGCACTTAAATACTTTAACTCCTTAAGTACAGTCTCCTAATCGCACTTAAATACTTTAACTCCTAAAGTACAGTCTCCTAATCGCACTTAAATACTTTTACTCCTAAAGTACAGTCTCCTAATCGCACTTAAATACTTTAACTCCTTAAGTACAGTCTCCTAATCGCACTTAAATACTTTAACTCCTTAAGTACAGTCTCCTAATCGCACTTAAATACTTTTACTCCTTAAGTACAGTCTCCTAATCGCACTTAAATACTTTTACTCCTTAAGTACAGTCTCCTAATCGCACTTAACTACTTTTACTCCTTAAGTACAGTCTCCTAATCGCACTTAAATACTTTTACTCCTAAAGTACAGTCTCCTAATCGCACTTAAATACTTTAACTCCTTAAGTACAGTCTCCTAATCGCACTTAAATACTTTAACTCCTTAAGTACAGTCTCCTAATCGCACTTAAATACTTTTACTCCTTAAGTACAGTCTCCTAATCGCACTTAAATACTTTTACTCCTAAAGTACAGTCTCCTAATCGCACTTAAATACTTTTACTCCTAAAGTACAGTCTCCTAATCGCACTTAAATACTTTTACTCCTAAAGTACAGTCTCCTAATCGCACTTAAATACTTTAACTCCTTAAGTACAGTCTCCTAATCGCACTTAAATACTTTAACTCCTAAAGTACAGTCTCCTAATCGCACTTAAATACTTTAACTCCTAAAGTACAGTCTCCTAATCGCACTTAAATACTTTTACTCCTAAAGTACAGTCTCCTAATCGCACTTAAATACTTTAACTCCTTAAGTACAGTCTCCTAATCGCACTTAAATACTTTAACTCCTAAAGTACAGTCTCCTAATCGCACTTAAATACTTTAACTCCTAAAGTACAGTCTCCTAATCGCACTTAAATACTTTTACTTAAGTACCATTCTCCATGCAGTACTCCAGTATGTTCACAGAGTGCTTTCACTCCGGCTCAGAATCACGTGAAAGTGTTTGAGTCTAAAGTTCAAGTTTCCAGGCTGTTAGCATCATGTTAGCATCATGTTAGCATCATGTTAGCATCATGTGCACAGCAGCGACAGAGTAGATCAATAACCACCTGAACCTGGACCAGGTGCTCTCCAGCCTCCAGGTGAGCAGCTAGAGGGTCTGAGGGGAGACTACATTATCCCTCAGTGACTCTGAACCTGACCCCCCTCACCTGGTTCTGACCCCCCTCACCTGGTCCTGGCCCCCCTCACCCTCACCTGAACCAGGTGAGGGGGGTCAGGACCAGGTGAGCAGCTAGAGGGTCTTCACCTGAGCTTCTGTTAGCTTCACCTGAGCTTCACCTGAGCTTCTGTTAGCTTCACCTGAGCCTCTGTTAGCTTCACCTGAGCTTCACCTGAGCTTCACCTGAGCTTCACCTGAGCCTCTGTTAGCTTCACCTGAGCTTCACCTGAGCTTCTGTTAGCTTCACCTGAGCCTCTGTTAGCTTCACCTGAGCTTCTGTTAGCTTCACCTGAGCTTCACCTGAGCTTCTGTTAGCTTCACCTGAGCTTCTGTTAGCTTCACCTGAGCTTCACCTGAGCCTCTGTTAGCTTCACCTGAGCTTCTGTTAGCTTCACCTTAGCCTCTGTTAGCTTCACCTTAGCCTCTGTTAGCTTCACCTTAGCCTCTGTTAGCTTCACCTGAGCTTCTGTTAGCTTCACCTGAGCTTCCCTCTGCCCAACAGACAGGGGTCAGCCCGGGCCGTCAGCTGTTCCCTGCTGATATAAATACTGTGTGTGTGAGATAATAACAGTGTGTGTTTCCTCACCCTTACCGCAGCAGAGTCCCCCTTAGTCCCCCTTAGTCCCCCTGTTATCTCTCGGCTCCAGCTGGGCTCAGTGGTCTGTGACCTCACTGAGTCACAGGGCTCCAGCTGGGCTCAGTGGTCTGTGACCTCACTGAGTCACAGGTCTCATGCTCTCCATCAGCCGTTACTCACAGCCGCTGTGCGTCTGTATTTAGAGATATGACTACGTGCTGTGTGTTTGTCCCAGGTTCAGTACTAGAATGAACAGTGAGTTATCACGTCTGTTTCACATCACGTCTGTTTCACATCACGTCGTCTGTTTCACATCACGTCTGTTTCACATCACGTCGTCTGTTTCACATCACGTCGTCTGTTTCACATCACGTCTGTTTCACATCACGTCTGTTTCACATCACGTCGTCTGTTTCACATCACGTCGTCTGTTTCACATCACGTCTGTTTCACATCACGTCTGTTTCACATCACGTCGTCTGTTTCACATCACGTCTGTTTCACATCACGTCGTCTGTTTCACATCACGTCGTCTGTTTCACATCACGTCTGTTTCACATCACGTCGTCTGTTTCACATCACGTCTGTTTCACATCACGTCTGTTTCACATCACGTCGTCTGTTTCACATCACGTCGTCTGTTTCACATCACGTCTGTTTCACATCACGTCTGTTTCACATCACGTCTGTTTCACATCACGTCGTCTGTTTCACATCACGTCGTCTGTTTCACATCACGTCTGTTTCACATCACGTCTGTTTCACATCACGTCGTCTGTTTCACATCACGTCGTCTGTTTCACATCACGTCTGTTTCACATCACGTCTGTTTCACATCACGTCTGTTTCACATCACGTCTGTTTCACATCACGTCTGTTTCACATCACGTCGTCTGTTTCACATCACGTCGTCTGTTTCACATCACGTCTGTTTCACATCACGTCGTCTGTTTCACATCACGTCTGTTTCACATCACGTCTGTTTCACATCACGTCGTCTGTTTCACATCTCGTCTGTTTCACATCTCGTCTGTTTCACATCACGTCTGTTTCACATCACGTCTGTTTCACAATTCACATCATGTTAACTCCATGCCTTCAGGAAGTCTTCTGGCTGCTGACCAATCACATCACAGTTTAAAGGTCTCATAACACTGGAGCTTTATAGCGTGTTATTATTATAACTCCTCTACAGACACGTATCACTGACACTTTGTTAATGATTAATACATGGATCCTCTGGACTCTGACCAGGCTGTAAACAGCAGGGGGTCAGAGGTCAGCTGGTCAGGCTGTAAACAGCA